TACTTTTTGGTGATAGGCAGGCAGCATCCAGTGGGTTTATCAACGCTTTTTTGCTAACAAACTGTCGGCTGCAGCTGGAAATAAGTCATTTCAAGCTACTCCTTTCACATTATGTGTAGTTATTCCAAAGATAAAGTGGGAAATCCAGTACAAAAGGTAACAATACAAAAATATATTAAAGGTAAACAACAAAGACAATAAATGCTAGGAACAATGTCAGAGAAAAGCTATCAGTCGTCTCACAGTGTTGTGTCCAGTGTGTATCCATCCTCCCTAAATGAAATGAAATGCTGTGCACAGATCTACTCACTCTGCATGTCGATATCTGATTCAATATTCTTCGAAAATATGATTATGGAATATGCTTATCAAAAGCGTTTCAAACACTAAAACAGCTTGAATTCGGTTGAGGGTAGTATAAAAATGCACACACCCCTTAATGTCTCCTCACACCATTACAGTTTAAGACTTGACTCAAGAGATATTTGTTATTATTAGTATTGTCCAGAAAAAAGAACCCCTCATTTAAAACTTATAAAAGCCTTAAATAGTGTGTAAACGTCCCATTCACTGTAATTCATTTACACTTTTACAGCACTTTAAGCATTCTTGGCAGCAAAATTAGAGTTGTTCCTCTTCCTTTTATAGACCCTCTTTGTTGTAGCTGTCTACTTACTGAGTTGAATTCCAGCCCAACACTGTGCACCTTGACTCATTAGGCCAAAGGGCAGCAACTGATTGAAAATGCGTGGGGAACATAGGTTAATCACTATAGAAATGTCCTATATGGCATATAATTGCTTTAAGGCCATTATCCTGTTTACATCAAATTAAATTTCCACAACTGTTCTGTTACTTTCAATTCAGACTAATGTTGAGACTGCAGTTTGTCTTTGTGGGGCAGAATAGGTTCACCCTCTGACCACGCTTCACAAAAGTACATAAATTTATGGCTGGTTGCAACGCAGAAATGCTCTGCAGCCTACAATACAAATAGCGGCATTGATTTACAAATAGAGCAAATTTATTTCTTGGTTGTTGCCATTGCTTTCGCAGGCAGAGAGACACATTTTAAGACAAGATATAAATGGAAGGAATCCATGAAGCAATTATTCCACCTCTGCAGTACATGGCAGCGACACCATTGGAAAAGGTGTATCAGGCTACCTTTCTCTGTTCTGTTTCACTGAGCAGCTTCTCGAGCCTTTCCTCAGCCCATCAAGCTGCCTTGGCAACAATCAGACCAGAGTGGCTGAGGCATGGCGAAGAGAAATGTACAGTGGTGGAGTGGTAGGAAATTACAAAAGGAATCAATTCAATGAGTTCCCTCCCTCCATGAAAAAAATGTCTATAAATCAGGCAGGGGGTCAGACCCAAACAACAAGCTTTTAAGAGCCTGTATACCAAGGTATAATGCATTTACAAGGTACAACTCAGTAGTATGGCTACTTCTGTACTAAATCCTTTCTTCTTTGTTGACTCAACCACTTTCCCAACACAGCAGTGCTGTTAACCAAATGACTTTGGTGCTTTTTCCACTGACCTTATCCATATTTCATTATCATTGGAACGAGATTGGGATGCTTTTTCATACCATATTAGAGTCAGAGCATGCCAGGAATCTCTGTAATGCCAGAAGAGCAGTGTTTCATTCCAAAAGGAGACATCCACCTTTTGAAAAATGTGACACAACCACGCCGGCATGAAAGTGAAAATGAAGACTTATGTGTCTTCTGCTCTTTGCTGACAAAAAAAGCAGTACGTTAGAAGCTGTAATCATTTTTTAAAGAGCGGGCTTTGAACACTAGGTCATAATTTTTCCTCTAAAAGCTGTTTGTAGACTACATTTCTGGGATGAAGCTCTTCTTTGTGCTTTTTTGATAACAAATGTCGAGTCCTTGCTGCTGTTTCTTTGCCAATTACATTCCTGGTGCCCATCACTTCCTGTGTTTTTTTCCCATGTTTCTCCTCATAGGATGGGATGAGGATGAGAATCTTAATGGAGGCTGTAAATAAACTAAACGGCAAGGTCAGCAGGAAAGCCACTGATGGAATAAATTAGTGTCCCGTTCTAAAGAAAACAACAGAGAAGACAACATGAAATATAACAGTATGGCAAGAAAGGGCTCCATGACCGTTACTGCCTCCTGATCAATCTTATGCTTCTCCACTGATTTGTTATGTTCCCTGTGACCTGTCCACCAACATCAATATGAGGTGGGCGTCAGACTGTGGGCTTAAACTACCGTTAGGTGGTCATTGTGGAGCTCATTTGAGTTAGCTCATGTATGTGTGTGCCTGCACCACATTAATTTTCAGTATCTGCTGCGTATAAATGTCAAGGCCTCTTGAGAGATGGCAAGCAGCAGTTTATTCCCACACACACCCACACCCAGAATCGGCACACTCCAATGCAGCACTGTAAACAGCGAGCCCATAGGAGCCATGAATCGTCACGCTCCGGTTGTGGGTGTTGAGTAGTCATGGGAAAGTGGATAGCATTATACTGTAGGTGATGTAATCCTAAAAACATGTGCTGCCAAGTGACATAATGTGTTTATCAATGAATGAGCAGCTGAATGTCTAGCATGATCTCAGTCTCAGGTGTAATGGATGGCTGACAGAGAATCTCTCCTCTGTAAATCACCTGGCTGCTCTCGTACTTCCTGGATGACTGGACATTTTCCTCCTACTACTCTACTCTACATCTACTGTAGGTTCAGAACAAGCCGCCTTATGATGAAATTTAACCATTGCTCAGTTTGTGAATTATATCCTCTTGCCTTATTATTGACATAATCGCATGCCATGCTATAATTAGCTGAAAAAACCCATTATAGTGTAGCACTTCACAAAAAAACTACATCATGTAATTGTGAAGATACTGACGCCACACTGTGTCAAATCAGGGGGGCTGAGCTACAAGGATCTTCTTGCAATAGAAAAATAAGTTGAATAAAGGTAAAGAAAAAGACTGCCGGTGACTCAGTGTGTGTGCATGTGTGTATCCACACGATATTCCAACATCTGTGTTACCTTGGTAACTAATCCTATTTACAGAGGATTGGATCCATTATTCAGGTTCTTCGTTTCAAAGCTGAATAGTTGTTATCACTGTGTGTCAGGGACAGAGACTCAGAAGAGGCGAATATTGAATATTCAATGTTTTCTTAACAATATTTCACAGTATTTAATGCACGTAAGTGTAATCCCGTTTGGAATATAAACTGCAATGAAAACCTGGATTTCCTCAGCTGTAAAAATTAAATGATGTGTGTGCAAAAAATCAATGGGAAGAGCAAAGAAGAATATGTGGGATACATATCTATCTATGTATCAACTTTATGATAATTGTAATTAAATATCGAACTTGAATTGTTCAATAGTGCATCCTTTTCTTGGGAGATTTAATTTCCTGCAGCCAGTCATCTTTTATAAAAACAAACATTCAGGTTATAAAAAGGTCACTCAGAAATAATTGCAGGGGAAGCCTACAAAAGCTGAGGCTAATGTACGCTTGTAAAGACTTGACAGCACAAAAAAGTCTCAAAAAAACTGTAACATGAATTACAGCCTACACGTTCAGTGATCAGTGAAATGCCACACAAAGCGTTAGGGATGCAATAATATGGGTATTGAGATAGCAAGGCGTTCACACTGACAGCTACTGTATTTGGTTTCTCACAAAGCAGAGGAAACTGCTGTGACATTCACATATTGTTGCTCCTTCTAATTCTCCCGCTCAGCCATACAGTGGTGGCATTTCAACCATGCAAATATGTGGCTTAGATAAGCAGTTGACTGGCCACTGACCTTGCACATAAATTAGATGAGGTGAACCTTCATCAAGAAAAGCCTTCATCAACAAAAATGTGTCTATTTAAATTCATTGATTTAGATAACAGTAAGTTCCAGAACAAAAATTGTGTTTTATGGAGCCCTAAGTGTTCAATATTAAATAAATAAATAAGACATTAAATAAATAATCATTTGAATAAATAGAGTACAATGGAGCCTATAAATAAGCCAATAAATTGTGAAATAATTTAAGAAAGTATTAAAACTTTACTTATTATAACGTGCTTTAATTATTTATTTTCATATTAACATAGTTTATGTTTATTTAATTATATACCTTGTCTGTTTCTATTTAATAATAGTACATTCCTAGTGACATTTTGTTGATGTTACTATTCATGACAGAGGAGTTGCCACCAACACCCCTGGGGGTGTACCTCCTGTTGGCTAGAGAAACCATAGAGAAAGACTGGATGTCTTTGATTTTCCCAGTTGTGTGATTTCTCCGAGAAACAGCTTTGAAATCACAATGTAACTCAGGTAACAATGAATTAATCAGTTAACTCACAAAACAGCTTAGCTAGTTAGCTGGCTAGGTAGTTAGCATATGAAGCCTCCTAAAGGTAATAAAAAGCTACAACAGCAACTAGTTTGCTCATTCAGATGCTGGCATTGTTGTTCATCTAGCTACAGCTGGATGTGGTATGGTGGCTGTTGCTGCTTTCTGCACATGCTACCTACCTCCCTGGCTAACTAGCAAACTAGCTTAAAGTGAGTTAAAGTTCAAAGTAAGAGCCAGTGTTAATAGGAGTAGTGAAATGTTTCATTTATCTTTATCTTGCCAGTGTTGTGATTATTAAAATATGTCACAACTCTGAGGAGCAAAAACATACTGTATTTCTCTGTGGTTTTCCAAGCCAATGGGAGCTTGCTAGTAAGCTAGCAGGCATTTGGTGGGTGGTTTGGGGGATGTAATATGAATTATAAAATTACATTTCATAATAATTACTTTCAACAGTTCCTTAAAATATTTGAAGATTAAGTTGTACATTTATATAATTTACTAAAATTATTCATGTCTTATTTATTGATTTAATATCGTAGACTTTGGGGTTCCATAGTGTTTAGCATAATTAGCACTAGTTTGCCTGTCCAAAACCTCTAAAGCCATGTCCTCCCTCCCTCCTCTGTCTGTGTCCCAGGAGGGAAATTGGAGGAGAATGACTGGTAAAATCCAGACCAGCAACGTGACCAACAAGAATGACCCTCGCTCCCTAAACTCCAGAGTCTTTATCGGCAACCTCAACACAGCCATCGTCAAGAAGACCGACATAGAGGTCATCTTTGCCAAGTACGGGAAGATAGTGGGCTGCTCTGTGCACAAGGGTTACGCCTTCGTACAGTATTTGAACGAGAGGAACGCCCGAGCAGCTGTGGCTGGAGAAAATGCCCGTATCATCGCTGGACAGCCTCTTGGTGAGTCTTCTTACCTTTCTGTTTTTCACCCTTTAGTGAGACATTTCTGCATTGCTAGCATTGCAGATTCCATTAGCAACTCATGAAGGGCCAGAAAGACACAGTCCATACAGCACTTCACAAAAACTTTCTCCTTGAAATACAGAATGTTTTGTTAAAGCCTGTACTTTGCTAGAGGAATGGATTGTTTCTCTCGGGAACACAAAATGCCTCAGGCATCTCTCAGACTTTTAGTTTAGAACTTCCCTTGGCTCCTAAATGCTGAAGTGTCTGTGTTTGTTGTCACGCTGTTTTGGAGAAAATCCCTGCTGACTCAGTTAACAGATCCTAGTGAATGTAAGCACAGTTTGATTTTAACATTTACCAGGCAGCAACTTGCAAAAAGTATGTCAAAGTTCTTGAGACACACTACTACAGAGCAGAATATGTTAGCGGCATGGGATGCAGCTACATTATGCTGTGCAAGCATTGATTTTCTACAGTGAATGCACTTTGCAATAGGTTGTTTTAGTGGATGGTGACTGTCAAATGTTTTTTTATTCACATTTGTGTTGCTCAATCAGAATTTAGTCCGTGAAGGGCATCGTCTTGAGGCTTATCTTGTTAAAAAATCTTTGTGAAGCCTAGGGATGGATTGCAAAGATGGAGCACATTCCTTGACACTCGTGCTTTAAAACATCATTTAAATCGATCGTGATTGGAGAATACTGCATACATGCGAGAGACCTTTTGATTAAAGTCTTTGCAACACGTTTGAGGGAACCTTGGGTCCAGAGTGCAAATATCAGTGTCAGCATGTTACACAGTTAAAAATACCAGCATGAGATGATCAAAGAGAGCAATGCATGGTGGAACTTAAGTGTGGAACAGGAATGGATTATTATTTCAATACAGAATATGTGCAGAGTTAATATTTGGCATTTAGGCTCAGACTTTGTCACTCCCTGCAGTGATAAACCAAGCAGAGATTGGGGAGTGATGATAATAAATTTCCCCCAAAGGGAACAAAGGCTCCATTCAAACTGCAGGCCATAATGCTCATTTCTGAGTTAATGCCCAGATCAGTTTTTTTTTTTTTTGATTGACTGCTCAATTTATTGTTTAAATGTGGCCCACATCAGACAACAGTGTGAACTGGCCACGGCCTGAAAGAGACCCATATGCGCAGATGAATAATACGATGTCACGCGCAGCACTCTGTCATACAGAAGTAAACATGGAAGCCACAGAGGTTGCGTTTTTTATTGCCCTCTCCTGGTTCCCTCCCGGCGTCATAATCCTCCCGATTTATGAAAAATCTGTTACAACTTTGTGTCCTTTTAAGTGCATTCATTACAGTTTCTGGCAATGTACAGTCCATATAAGCCCTACAACACTCTCTCTCTAAGGTGTTTTTGCACAGAGAAGTAGCATGCATGTGATACAGAATTGTTCATACGGTTACATATGAGCAAAACAATCCGATTTGGGTAACTTCGGCCTGCAGTCTGAAGAGCTAGGGGGTGCAGGTGCAGATGCAGCAGAGTACAACATGTTTGGTGTTTCAACCAGGAATAAATAGTACAGGTATCACTGGGTGTCAGTATATTACAGAATTTAGCATGAGTTGATCAAAGAGAGCAGTTTAGTTAGGAAGTGGAATGGATTATTATGGGAATGTACACAATTCATATTTGGCAACTAGTCTCACTCCCCACAAGGCACCACCAACCTCTACACAACAGAGTGTTGGTTCAGCCGTGGGTTTGGTATGAAAATAGCTTCTTTATGGACACGTGTTTTTGAACTCTTGCTTGAACATGATCTTTTTAACTGCTCACACACTCTGCCACTCCATTATACAGTATCCTCAGGGCGGTTAGGGTTGTGAAAGAAAGAAAGAAAGAAAGAAAGAAAGAAAGAAAGAAAGAAAGAAAGAAAGTCGTATATAAAATCATGAACACAACTGAAGTAAACGATCCCAGTTCAAGGGCATTACCCAGTGAAAATAATATTCCCCAGGCTGTTAACTCCTGTGTTAATGAACATTAGCCTAACTAACATTAATTATGTACTGAATATAAATTGAATATTTAAAGAAAGAAAAAGCAGAGCTGATTTAAAGGTTGTTATGTCTCCTCTGCATCAGCAGGACAGGTTATCGGCCTGCCTGTTTTTTTCTAGACTGCGTTTATCAGCCTAAACATCAAACCAATAATCTGTCTGGAATGCCAGCCTCTCCTAAAATCCATCTGACTGTGAGAGACCTAAGTGGTTTCTTCATTTGCTTTCCTATTGTTAAGGTGTTAACTGTTTATATTTTAAGGCCTGTCTGTTTGGATGGGTGTTTCATGTTACCTTTCCACACTTCACACATAAGAAAACAGTTAATCCGATCTGCATTAACTGAAAATATAGCAACAACAGTTACGGAAACATTTTGTTCATCTCTATTTATTGTTGCATGCTAAAGACAAAAAAATCAACAGCAAGTAATGATGATCTCTCTTTGCCTGATTAATGATGGCTAATGTGTTTTTGCTCTTCAAGTCATTCATTAGTTTGATATTTAGCATTATGGATGTTCTAATCAGCGAATAAGCAGAAAAACACATCACTTATTAAAACCTAGTTGCAAACAGAACTATCGCCAAGTCCAAGCCAGAACCACCACTGGGCACTCTACCATAGCCATAATAATAGTGTGAGTGATTTATTTGTTCTGTCTGTGCAAATCATTTGACTCTCTTCATGTGTGGTTGCTTGTTTTTGGTTGAGAAAGCAAACATAATCAAAAGTATTTCCATTACCCAAGAGTTCAATTCAAACCGACCCTGCAGCAAGGCAATCCTGCCCTCATTGTTGTCACTCAATCTACAAGTCGTGTGACGGGAGTATGATTGGGATATGCATCCTTAATTGGCAATTAAAGACACCATCAGTCTCATCCTCCCAAGCTGATGCTTTTTATATTAACATGGTGGAGAAATGAATCAGCCACATAATCATTTGGAGTTGAGGAATGACCTGTGCAAAGGATCTATCTTCCTTTTGGAAAATGTTTCATTAAAGTGTCATTACCTGCAAGTTGATTGCACCTCACTTGCAGAGATCACGTCTGTAGGTAAGCTAATATTCCTGCGTTGCCAGAGGAATCGCATTCAAACGTGTTGGTGTTTCAACCATCGTTGGCTATGTTCAGTGAGATCGTCCACAGCCCACATAAAAAGAGGCAGAGCACGGTGTTGTGGAGGCAGAGGTACATTTGAAAAGCACGGTTGGAAAAGAGGTCAGTGGAGTAATCACGTCATACCGCGACTGCACAGATCCACCTCAGCTGCTCTGGTGATGACTAATCTCTGCACTCAGTGATACACGTGTCAGAGGTCAAAGCCTGTCGCCCCCACAGAAGATAAGACTGTCGCTCTGTATGTGTGTGGATGAAAAACTGCTGATGAAAGAATTCAAAAATTCTACAACAACATAACAGCTGGAAGCCCCTCACCCCCATTGCTGGGTAAAAAAATGGATGCGTCATTACCCTATCAAATATGAATAGGAGTTTATGAGATCACATCTAGGGATGTGAGCACAGCAATCATTTCAGAATAGCAGTGCATGCAATGCTATTCTGAGTTACGACCATGAAGACATTTCTGTAAAAGCACTTCACATGAACACAGATGTTGAATATTGAGTCTTGCAGAGCAGACGTGAAGAGTCTTCTATCCTCTGCTGTCTCTTTCTCCATGGTGCTGAAACATTCAAACCCAGACGGTGTCCCAATTAAGGCTACATAGTATACAAACACTTAACTGGAAATGATGCTACACATGCCAATGTAAAATTTAGAAACCTAAAAGAGAAAGAAAGTGTTGTCCAAAGATTTAATAATTAAATTTAATAAAGCAGTCTGATAATATATTCCTGGAGATGGATCATCCCCGCTTTTCAGAAATGTTTTTGCTGTTTTGCAGCTGTGAGTAGCTCTTCCACTTTCTATGTGAATGGCATTGTGGGATGATGGTGGCAATTAACATCAAAAATCAAGCAAGAAGTGCATTTCGTAGGCTTTTATGTCTCTCTCCATGGTTCTGAAAAACATATTTCCCACTTAATATTGTCAAGTATTTGAATATATATGTACTATGCAGTTATTATAAAAAGTGTTAATACACTTTACTTACCGGACTATGTCTCTATATGTGTGTGTATATATATATATAAAATCAAGCAAAGGTAGTATGCATACTGACTTTCTTTTAATTTTGTTACCATCTTGTCTCTCTCTGTGGTGCTGATCATTCCAACCTTGGCTGTGTTCCAGTTAATGCTATAGGGTAAACAAATATGCATACTGTCTTGGGAGTCAGCATTCAGGATAAAATACAATGATACAAATGATACATGACATTTAGACATCAGTCTGACAATTAGGGAGCACTCCTGCCCAGCTAAAGTCAGCAAAATTTCCCCTGACGGGACAAAACAACTTACACCTTTATTATTATTATTATTATTGGTACATGGAGTCCTGTGACCGGTTGCTCACACTGAAGCTCCACCCACATAATCAGCCAAAATAACTGAAAATGTGAAACAGTAGTATGATGTTTATAGCAGCAGGTATTGGAGATGCTGTGGTAAACTTGATTTTTTAATCCAACAGCTTTTACAGTAAGTGTCGGCAGATACACAAAAATATTTTTTTAATTTGGATTCCGCCATGACAAGCCATGTTAAATGCATGTTAACTATGTCTATGTCAAACTAGCAGTTGGTGTTTTGGAGTGCATCCAGATAAGCAGAGTCTGTATGTGGAACCAAAATCATTAAAATCACCTTGTGATCAGTACAGTTAGTGTGCATACTATGAAAGAACTTCATACTCATATCCTGCTTAAAATGTATGTACTGTCATTAGGCCACAGCACCAGAGTCTCTCCATGGCTCTCTCCATTTTGGCCCCAAAGCTAGTTTAAATTAAACTACAGTCACAATAAAATCACAGCCTACATACA